TTTGGATCGGATCGCATCATTGTCTCAATCCCGGGTCCCTCTGTGGCATTACGTGCACTGCACTGATGTAACAGCAACTTGCCGCAGTTTTGTCTGCCTTGCCAGCCTTGCCACAGCAGCAACAGCAGCATCTGGCTTTGAAGTTGCCACGAAATCGAAAATGTGCTTTTGTTGTTATCTTAAGTCCGTTAAGTTGACAGGCTGTGAAGTGCCTGATTCGCATATAATTTTTTTATTTTATTATTTTTTTTTTCTATATTATTTTCTGATCTCGGCTGCCCTATAATATTTCAACACCCGATTGACGGGCAGCGCAAGCAGACACTTCCTGCTTGCAGATGCCCAAATCATATAGCTGCCAGTGCCGCTTTGAAGAAGTTGCAACAACAACAAAAATATGCACACCAAAGCTGCCAAAGAACAGCAACAACAACAGCTGAATTTGGCATGCCATCATCTGTATAAAGAGTGTGGAGAGGGGCGGAGGCGGGGGGTAGAGAGCAGGGTGCAGGAGTTCATCTGCCTTTGCATTCCGGCCATGCAACAAGCATGACAGCCTAGACCTGATCTATTTTGGTCACGCTGCGCCCCGCCTGTGCCCCTGCCCCTGTCCCAGCGCCAGCTGCGCCAGCGACATGCAAAAATATACATACCATATTACATACGTCTGCATGTGTGTGAGTGTGTGTGTGTGTGTGTGTGTGTTGCTCCTGCTGCCGCAAAACAAACAATTTGTAGGTGTGGCTGCGCCCTGGCTTTGGCCATTGCTGCTTCTGCTGCTGCTGCTGGTGCCATTCTCTTGACGGCCGTTCTGGTAGATGAAGCGGAAATGTGACGTTGACTGCAATAAATTCACTCGCTTTGTTTGTGCAAAAGTTCAAAGAATTGCAGCGGTAGGCGATTTGCAGATGCTTTTCATTGGAATGCCAAATGGAAATGCATTTCAGTGATAAAATTAAATTATGATAACAAATATTCAGAAGGAAAGAAATGCTTTCAGTTTTAGTTAAAGTACACATATATTCTGTTATCAATAACAGACTTAGTAGAATAATGTTAATTTGGGCCAAACAATTTTATCACTTCCGCTTAATCATCATTACATTGTCCACTTTAACATTGCTGCCTACGTTATGTTTCTTAACATTGCCTAATGTAAGCTGCACATTATTTACCACTGCGTACCTAATGTTACTTAACATTGTCGTGTTAATAATAATTTCCTTTAGTTTAGTTCTGTTAGTTTAATCTTCTTGTGCGTACTGTTATTTAACATTGCCAAGTACTGCTGTTAATCTAGCTCCAGTCTATTTTTTGTTACGCTTACCGTAACTGAATTATGTTAATGGAAAACTCTGATTTTGTTCACACTCATATTTCATAATATATTACACATTATTTTTTGGGCCAAACCAATCCAAGCCCAAAATGAACAAATGGGTTTCAATGCATTTCCCACAAAGCATTAGTCACAAAGCCCTCGAGAAGCCGTCAGGGACGCGAATATCAAATTGATTCGCCAAATTAACGGCCTTCTGTCGAAACGTTTTCTCATGCTGCTTTGGCGGCTTACGCGGCGTATGTGTAATTAAAATTTGCGCCAGCGGCGCTTTTGACCAGGTGTGGCCCTTTTGCCAACATATTAATTATTGTTAGAGCCAAGCAAAAATTTCCAAAAAAAAAAAAAAAAAATAACAGCCAAAATCTCTCAATAGACAAAGTACGAAAATAGCAAAAAAAAAAATTCAACAAATTTATAAACTGGGCGTCGGCGCACTTTTTATACCCCACAGGCCAGCGGCCAACAAGTTGTCTCTGTTTTCATTTTATATTTCTATAATTTATTAAGAAAACACGCCAAATGCATGTGCGGCAGTGTGTATCTACCTCTCCCTCTCTGTCTCCGACTGCGACTCTGTCTCTGTTTGTGCAACGCCTTTGTGCGCCTTTGCATGCGTAATTTGTGTTGCGCCGTCGTGGTGGTCCCAGCGGCCCCGTCATCGTCATCGTCATCGTCGCTGTCCCAGTCCCTGTCCCGATCCGGGTGCGACGGCACCCGCACTGAATAATTGGCATGGCTGGGCGCCACACGATACCGGCAGCGGACCGATAGTGGATCGACAGCGGACCGGGTCCGGGTCCGGGTCCGGGACAGGGCAGGGATTCGGATTTGGATTCGGATGTGTGTATTTTTGTATATGCATAAAGATATGTGCATATATCTATATCTGCATATATGCTAATGCCACCGCATGTCGGCTTGATTGCCAACAGAGCGCACCGAAATGCGTACAAATACCCTGTAAATCAATTGCAAAGGCATAAGTGAATCAACATGCAAATCGTGTTCTTTAATATGTTTGGAATTATTAAGAACTACTTGTTAGACATACCACAACTACAAGTAAATGAACAGGATTGCAAAGTTCTAGCTAATCAAATGCCTGCAGGGTATCTCACTCGCCGTTCACTTTCACTATTACCCAATACATATACGCACATACATATATACATTCTGACTTTTTGCGGACCGCACGACTGTAATTTAGTTTTCAACATCAAAGGCGTGGGAATGTTGCAAAAACCCGCACAGAATAACACAATGATAAATGCGTCTGTTTTGTGAGCCCAAATTCTGAAAGGATTCAGACAAATCCTCGACAAAAACAAAAACAAAAAAAAAAACTTGCCATATTTATGGCTTGCGTCAAAAAAAGCTAAAACAAAAATATCAAAATGCCGCCAATGGAACGGAAATTTGTCGCCGCAGCAAATTGAAAACATCGAAGCGATCCACTAACAAAAATTTCTGACTTGACTCTAAAAGCCAAAACGGGCAAAAATTCTAACAAAAAGAGTGAAAAATCTAAAAATACATTTCAAAAGAACAAAAATCGAACCGAGGAACTGCGAGCCGCCAGAGGCTGAGGCTGGGGCTGGGGCTGGGGCTGCTTTTGGAAGCGATGCCAGCGATGCCGTCGATGACAATGACAAGCGGCGTCCGAGCGACGCGCGCATTTGGGTCAATGACGACGAAACCGAAGCGGCGACTATGCCCCATGATTTAGAACCCAGCGCTGAAGATCGACAACAACAACAACAACAACAACCACTGCCTGGCCTGGAATTGGCGGTCAATCAAGCAGAAAATGTTGCACGAGAAGCATCATTTTAGCATGTGGCGACAGCGGCTTATACAATGTTGCCCCCCCCCTCCCTCCCTCTCTTCCACACACACACACACACACAGCCCCTCAACCCATACACTGCCAAGCCGAAACAGACTGTGGAAGTTGTTGTTGTAGTTGATTATGTTATACTCTTTCACAGTGTGGAAATAGGTGTATTCAATTGAAAAATAAGTGTTTGACAACATTCAAAATCTTTTTATCTTATTAAGAAAAATTAAAAGACATTTTTCCATTATTTCCATTTTAAAATATGCCATAAAATTAAAAGTATTTTCTATAAAATTTCAAAAGTTTACAAAAAACAAAGTAAATTTCCTCCAATAAATAAAATCAAAGGTCCACATATCCATATATAAGCTTTTTGAAATATTTTTATTAAAATATTTATGAATTGCTATAAAATTAAAAGTATTTTTATATTTAAGATTATATTATATATTCTTATTTTAAAATAATATCAAATTGTCTGTCCAAATGTATAATCTACGTTCCTGCAGCTCTTCTAAAAACACAAAAATATTTTGCCAAACAAATTTTTGTCTCTTCGTAAATGTGAGGACTAGTCTTCGGCTGTGAGCGTGTATAACGTAGTCGGCTACAGCCGGTTGCCACATTCTTATTTGTTTTTGTTGTTGTTGTTGTTGCTGGCATTTTCTGTGTGTGGCGATGATCATTTTGTTCAATCGATTGTAAACGATGCGTTGCGATCGTTGCTCTGCGGCTTTGATCAAATGACAAAATTGATCATTTTCTGTTTGAATGGATTTTGGAGCAGTCTCAAAGCGCACAGCGTCTCACCCCTCTCCAGACCCCCTGCCAGCCACCCCTCGCGCTGCCTGGCCGCACAACAATTGATTTATGTTGGCTGTTGTCTCTGCTGTGTGGGGTCTGTGGCATGTGCAACAACAGCAACAACAACAGCCACGTTGTGTGTTACCTATAAAATATCAGAGCTTTTGTGTTGAGTCAAAAGGTGCTATAAATCAAGCCAAATGTGAGCGCACCTCTTAAATTTTTGTTTCGCTCGCTTTTGAGTGAACGTTTTGACCATTTTCCGCACTCTGGCTCTGGCAAATTAACAACAATGCGAAAAACATTTTCGCGTCATAACAATTAATAGCGAGCAAGGATCGCAGTCGACCTGCCGCAGACCCGAAGGTCTCTCTCTCCCTCTCTCCCACTTCCTCCAAAACTCTGTTGCAAGTCTCTTGAGTTTCATTTTGTTTTTGTTTTTTTTTTCTTCGAGTTGCAAGTTCGATTTCACATTCCCGTAGGGGTGAAATCTTTTGCGGGTTTTTCTTTCTGAATTTTTTTTACGTCGCGCTTATGTTTTTTTTGTTGTTTTTCTTGAGCCGAAAACGCTGTGGGTAATAACCAAAAATTAGCAAAAATTGCTAAAGTTTGACTTGCATGATTTATCTATAATTTTGCATCGCAAGTCGCCACTCGCCGCATTGCGAGCTGGGGCAGTCCAGCCACACTCGCCATCTGATAGGCCCACAGTCAAGCACACACACACACACACCGAGGGGGAGGGGGAGAACGGTGGGTAGACCCCAACAACATCTGACAGCCTGGGCCAATTTTTTTAGTGCGCTTTTCAGCCTAAGCGATTTTCAGTTTTCTGTTTTTGTCGGTTTCGGTTTCGGTTTCCTTTTTGCAGCTTAACACTTGCGGGTGTTGTTGTCTACATAATTTGACTTTAGCTGCAGCCTTTTGGGCCGCAACCGAACCGGCAAACATGTAATCGTCGTAATAATAAAAATTTGCAAATGATTTCGTTACTCAATCTCTGATCTCTCGTTACAGTCCTGGTTATGGCATGCCGGCTGGCCGCTGGCCACATCCAATGGAGCGCTCGTACTGCAGCTGAGCGACTCTGAAATCGTGCACGCACTTCAACCAGCCGAGCTCTACCTGTGTGTCAAATTGGGTAAGTGGGTCGGCACTCAACAAGCCAACAATATGCTCAACAAATTACCAGAATTGTAGAGAACTTCAATTGTGCATGCATGTCCTAGAATGTATGCAATTCTACTTTTTTGAACTTAACATATACACTTGATGCAAAATTTGTTTCCACTATTGAAAAGCATACATTTATTGTAAATATTTTTAATAGTAAAAAAACTAAATAAAATAAATAAATAGAAAAATATGAATATATATAAATAAGAAATATAGAAATATAGTATGCTGAACTGCTGCTCCGATATCGATAATAGTTAACTCATATGTTAGGAGCATGCTAAGAACGAAAGTTGGTCAAAATATCTTCAATAAGAGAAAAAGTATGTATGAACTAGATTATCGATGGATCAATATTATGGCAGGCAGCTTTATGATGTTATGTTCCTAGCTCATTCTGAATTTCATATTCGCCTGCGATTAATTTACTAAAATAGGCATCTAATAGCCTGACAGCCTGCTTTAGTCTAACCCAAGCTAACTCATATTACAAAATACTTCCATTTTATTAATAAATCCATGTCTTTGCACTCATATATTCTGTTTAAATTTGCAGATTCTGACGCAGAGGCCACACCGCAGCTTTATGTCGTTTGGCGCTCGTCCCAGCAGCAGCAGCAGCAGCAGCAGGAGCAAGAGGGGAGTCAGGGACAGAGTCACTGCCTACATATCGATTACAATAATTCGCAACAACAGACACTGAGCGTGCTTCAGCTAGAGATGTCTATGGCGGCAATGGCAGCAACAGGACACGCACAGAGTCCGGGCCAGGGCCAGGGCCAGGGCCAGGGGCAGGCTAACGATGGCATCGAGTTGCCGCAGCTGCTGCAGAATCTGCTTGTGAGCGTGGAGCGCAGTATTGAGCGCGTGTCGCTAAACGAGCTGCAGATGCCGCTCGCCCTGGGCGAGGATCAGCTCGATGAGGCCAACAATAACAACAGCAATAACAACAGCAACAGCAATAGCAACAACATTGGGTCGCCAAAGTGCGCGCTGAGGCGCAGCGATTTAATTACCAAAAACAAACTGTTCAACAATCGTTACATGCTCCGGCGCCTGACCAATCGGCAGGACAGTATGAACTCCACCTCGTCGGGCAACAGCAATGCCAGCGAGCGCAGCAGCTCCAGCGGCAGCAGCAGCGCCGGCGAGGAGCTCCACAACCACTTGAATATCAACAGCAACAACAACAACAACAGCAACAATAACAACAATAACAACGCGGAGCTTAAGGCATCCACATCGCCCGCCTTGCCGCTGTTTTGTCTGGGCAACTCATTTCCGCACATTGACAGCGACGAGGAGGCAAGCGATGCGGCAACCGGCGGCGAGAAGCGCCAAGCGCTGGGTAAGTGCATGCACAATAACTAAAAGATACGTATACGTAATGCTGAATTACGCATACGCCGCGCGGGCCAACCAGTTGTGGCCCGTGTGCTTGCCCCAGTTGCACTTGCCGCAACTTGCAACTTGCAACTTGCGGCCTACTACGCTTATCTCAATTGCTGGGCGGTGTTTGGCTTATTTGTTTTTGCCGCCGGAGCACACACAAAGCGAAAAAAAAAACGTTTATGGAGCCCGCAATTGTGCTATGCAAATCGAACCGCCCCGTCGCGCCCCCCACCAGCAAAAATACTCAAAGAAATATTCAATTAAACGCCCCGCAGCCAAAGTTGAGCTCATTTTAATACCCTGTATTCAATAGAAATTGGGCTAAGAGGGTTTAACAGTTTCGTGCAAGTGCATGCACCAGGCAGAAGAAAGCGTCCCCCATTCATTAAATATATACATATATTCTTGATCAAGTTGAGAAGCTGGTTGAATCTTGCCAGGTTCGTAAATTTGTCATTCTCTTCGATATTTCTTTCATTTTGATAATATCTTTGGCTATAGAAAGGATGGCATGGTATTTTAAACATATCTCGAAGATAATATAAGACAGATCAGAAGCACCGAGTTAATCAAGAATATACATTCGTAAAAGTTTGTGTGTATGTCAGGGTATCACGTAGTCGGGCAGCCCCCAACTAGAGCAGTTGGTTTTTTGTGGTCCAAAACGGCGCTTTGAAGTCAAACTCGGGCTGGTTTAATAACACGATTTGATATCGCGCGCAAATTTAGCGTTAATTTGATATATTTCTTGCGCATAAATTTGCCAGCATTTAATTCAATTAATGCGCTGCGATTGTAGATTTTCGTACAGAATTCTAGTGAAAGTGTGTTTCAGCTATTTTTACTATGCTAAATCTTTCGCATTTGTAACTTTCGCTGGTTTTTGTACTTTGCCTAGAAATAGAAATTGCGAAAGTGTGATAAGAAACAAGTATAGCGAATGTTTGCGAATGTCTGCATAATGAGCTGTAAGATTTGGACCTTAACTAATTATTTATGAAAAGTTTAGAAAAGTTTATTCCAAGGCAAGTCATGGATAGAGATAGATTCTGAGAGCATTCGATTTTTGCACGCTTTCATCAAGTTCAGCTGATTCCCAATCTTAAGTATTCCATGCTTAATTTTCACTGCTCTTTTTCAATTAATTAAAAGCGTTTTGTATAACAAAAAATGCCGCAACAAAACCACATATATATTTAATTATTCTGAAAGCTAAGTTTGACTTTTCTCAAATAAGTAACAATTAGCAGCTTATACTTGAGCACACTTGCTTTAGACGAATTGAAATACTTACTATTTACATTAACTACATTGTAGAACCTACACATTTATCCTTATGTCATCGTAAAGAGAGAGAAAAAAACTAAAACTGGCTGTGATTTGGGTTTTCCGGCAGCTGTGAGATGTGCTTTAAAACCGAGTGGGAGTGCACTAGTCAACAGCTGACCGGAGCCTGCCTCATGCTCAATGGAGTATTGACGGTAAATTTGCTCGACATATATATGGTATATGTTGATAATTTGGCTGATCTGTTGCCACAGTGCAGTATCTCTACCTTGGCTCGCTATTCCAATTTGTTTACGTGCTCTGCAAGCTGGGCACCGACTATGAGTTTGGCACCCTGTACGTGCTCTTGTCCTGGGTAGAGGGCATATGCATATTGCTGCTGCTCGTCGACTTGTGCTGGGTATGCTGCAAAATGGGCAACCTTCTGCTGGCGGTAAGTCGATAGACGCACACACACTCAGCCAGCGCAGAGTCCTCAATCGCATTCCTGCTCGCAGGCGATCATTCCTGCTTATACGATGGGTTTCTTCCTGCTGATCGCCGGAAGCATGAGTGTGGTAAAGTATACCGATATCTATGTGGTAGTGCGCAGTTTTTATACCGACAATTTGATGACCTACGAGAACATCTATCAATGCTGCGGCATTGATGGCCCCAAGAGCTATGGCAATGCCAATACGACCTGGAATGTGCCGCCCTCCTGCTATCGCAACCAGGACGAGAAACCGGAGAATCTCTATCAGCGTGGCTGTCTCTATGCGACCCAGGACCATTGGTTCTGGTTTGTCTTCGCCAATTGCTATTGGTTCGCCTTTGTTCTGTTCACGGTCAATCTCATTACGCACTGGAAACTAAATCGATGTCTGAGGGCAAGAGCGAGGCGGCGTATTCCATAGGCCATATCACAATATAGAACAGATTTTTACCGGATTATACATGGTTGTATTTGGTTGTTTGAATATCTCGTTGTTGTCCAGTTTTGAATTGCAGTTGCAATTGCAACCACGGTTAGGCTGGGGGGACTAGAATGCGTTGCCAACGCCCACGGCTCGACCACAAAAGCCAACAAAAAGCCATTAGCCATTAACAACGGCGGCCCACAGCATCCGCCGGGCGTTGGTTAACCACAAAATATCGGTGTCTCTACGACAACAACAACAACAACAACAAAAACAACAGCAGCAGCTGCAGCAGCAGCAGCAACAACGGTGCAAATGCCTTTTAATTTGTCAAAGCCTAAAATATGAAAATTAAATGAGAAACCAAACCAGTGCAATGCACAGTGGGGCAAGCTGTGTAAGCTTTAAAGCGAACTTTGTCTGAGAACAAGCGCATAAAAATCAAGCATAAATATTTAAATATTAAGAAAAATAAACATAACTTCATAAATGTAAAGTATAAATGAAAAGATTACGAAGATAATTTCAAAATTAATAATTATTATCAACACATGTTGGACAGTTTAGTGGAGAACAATAACTAACCCGAGCTTAGCTGCAGCCTACTATAACTATAAGTAAAAGCCAAACGAAATTAGATTTCCATTTCGCCGCACTAGTCTCTCTTCAAAGTTACGGAATGTTTCTTTTATAGATCCTTGTCAGGTCTTACTCTTAATGAGCTTCTAGCTTATCTTAAACTACTTGCGAATTATAGGCAAAAACTGAAAACTTAATTTCGATGCCATTCAATGCTGTTTATTACAGAAAGACTATTAACTCCCTTAACTCCGTAAATCAGGTCAACCGCTAATTTTGGCTACATTCCATTCGATCAATTTATGATCAGCGATTAGTTTAGGGTTTTGCCCAAAAGCAAATGGATCACAGATGCTTATCTTGGCCCAATGTGCGCCGGAATGCGATCGACTCGCAGTCGCATTTCGGGTGTGTGGGTGCAATTTGCAAGCGCACATAAATCAGCTGACAAGTGCGGGGGCATTTGTGGCCAGGGTATTGAGTTACATACTTATGTATGCAATGGCACCGTCGAGCACCTGGCATTTATATGCGGCACAGGTGGCGGTGCATTTGAGAGGGCGCCGGGCGCAGAAATGGAGAATTTCTGCAGACGCTGCAATGTGTCGCATTTATAAAAGAAAAAAAAAAAACAGAAATTGTCGCACGCGAAAGTGCCGGGACGGAAATTTATGGGGCAACTGTTTAAACCAGCCACGCCCACCCCCAAACGGACATGATGTGATGTGTGTGGGCCACTGTGGCTGCTGCTGCTGCGGCTGCTGCTGCTGCTGCTGTCACCAAATTAATCAAACGGCATTATTATGCAAAAAATAAAAGAGCTTCGCAGTTCCTAAACCAGTTTTCAAGGTTTCGTCAAGCGTTTAAACTGCAATTAACCCATATCTGAAATTTATATAAAAAAATATTGTATTTTGATGTGTGCAAATTTGTCAATTTTTGTTCGCAGCGAACAGCGAGTCGCAGCCGGAGCCGTCGTCGCCAATGGATACGGAGACTGAGACGGAACTGTTGCCGCCCAACTCGATCAGCGAATTGCCCGAGAAACTGTTGAACAGCGGCGTCTATTTGCCAGGTAAATATCTATATATACATATATCTAGACTTTCCATTTTGCCGCGCTGCTGTGCATAATTCTAGACTTTCGCTAGAAACGAGTCGAACCGAAATTTGGCTTATAAATATTAATTGGAAAATTCGAATCACCTGGCAACGCCCCGTCAGGCAATTTGCCTGCCGGCCGATTGGGTGAAATGCGCTTTTCAATGCGAACTGAAAGCCACAATTCCGACTGCGATTCAATTCAATTAATTCACACACTTTTTCGCACATTAACGCTGTGTCGACCACCCAGAGAGCAATTGAGATTCAGTTCGATTTGCATCTATTCGCAGGCACACGCACCCTCCAAGGCAACCCACTTGTCCATGTGGATGCGGACGCCGTTGCCGTCGCGGGCCTCAATTGCTATGAGCTGGCCACACTGTTGCTTTACTACAGCACCATACCGGAGCGCAGGTGAGTTAAATTGTGGGTGGTTAGCTGGTGTAGGGAGGGAGGGGCATTACCTCAATCAGAATCGGGCAGTTTAATGTCAAATGCAAAACGCATGGGAATGGGCACAGCGTGCGCAGCTGTGTTTGTGTGTGCCCCGCACTCCAGTCCAGGCATTTCAATTTGTACCTCCTCGCCGGGGCATGCAACACAATAACAAAAAAAAAAAAAAAAAAGTAAAAAAAGATCTAAGTTCATAGACTCACAAGCAGCCCATCCATATTTACGAGCAGATATGCAAATGTGCAGTTAAAGCCTGGCCAAGAGCCCCAACTGGCGCTGGGAACGACCAAGACCAAGACCAAGACGGCGCTGCACTTAAGCCGCACCAAGATGTTCTAGGCGGGCACGGGAGACTCTCTTTTTGCCCAGTGAAGCGCACCCTCTCTCTGTCTCGCTCCCGCTCGCTCAGTCGTCTGGCTGTCTGGCAATCAGGCAGTCGAACTCATTGCCGCTTAAGAATATGCATGCCAGTCAATTTGCCACTTTGGCTAAAAGGAAACATGCAACAACAACAACAACAGCAACAAAAACATCGAACAGCACTTGCATTCAATGCTGAGAACTTTGCCATAGAAAATAGAACAAAAGCTTCAGCTTAAAGTCGATAACACTATGCAACAAATCTGAAAACCAACTAAATAGTAAGAAGTCGTCTAAGCACCTTATTAAATGGCATTTAGATTTGAAGCTTAGATTAATATTGTTGTTTGGCTAGCAAAATCATAAAAGTCGCTGGTTCAAATTAACTAACCCAGCTTTAGGTTTGTTTGTTTGTTTGTTTGAATCCTGGCTCTTTTTTAAATATTATTTTAATTTATGGCTGCCCGTTCTACTGAAGATATCGCAAGCCGTAGATATTTTCATAAAGAAGTTGCGGGCTAAATTCGATCAGTACCCAAAATTGGCGGCTAACAAATATTGTTAGACAAATGCAATGGTTGGGTTAATTATACTTTAGGGCAGAGTCTGCTTAAAAAGTTTTAGGTCTTGATCTAAACGATTTTTAAAGATAGCGGAAACGAGATATAGTTCCAATTCATGAATCGCACATGGTACATAGATAATTTGTAGACTAAATAGATTTAGATATAATATATATTATATCAGTACTTGCATTAATTAGAGTAACGGCGCTTTTTTATTATGTGACCCACATTAGAATAATTTTGTGATATTTCAATATTTAGCTATTTTTTGTTGACCCACTTAACAGAATAGTTGATTAAACTTGGGCCCACCCTCAGCTTTGTTGTCTAGTGTAGCTTAGAATTCGAGTTTGGCTGGCAGGCAGACAACATTTGCGGGCTCTACTAAAGCATGGCAGACACGTCGCTTGAGGGACTCGGCGATTGCGGCTTCCCTTTGTAGCGAACGCAAGAAGGAGACAAAAACAGAGCAGAACTAACTGGGAGAGGGGGGAAGAGATAGAAAGGGGAAGAGTGGAAGAGGGAGAGGAAGCTGCTGCTGCAGGCATATGAATGATCTTTCAGACAGATTCGTGACACTTTGAATTTATGATGTGAACTTTTGTGGCCCAGCGTTGAATGCTTGTTGTGTTGGCTTCTCCACCACGATTCCTGGAAATATCACAGCACAATCTGTGAGATCTAAATCGACATGCGAGAGAGAGACCAAGAGAGAGAGAGAGAGAGAGAGAGAGAGGGAGAGATAGAACACACACTCGTTGGCCACTTACGACATTCCCCCCATTCAACCATTCCCCATTTCCCATGATTACACTTCTGATTCGGCATCAGCTTCTAATTCCTGCTGTAGAATCCCGTTTTCAGCTTGAGCTCCAGCTGCATGTTAATTGCTTCAATGCCAATTGCTAAAATGCGGCCAAATCGTGTAGAAAACTTTGACAAACATTTGCGTTGATTATTCGTACTCAAACTGCGCTCCCAAAAACTGGCACAACTCGTCATCAGACGTGCGTCCGACGTGAATGACTTGAGGCTTTGGACTTGGACAGCCACTCACACATGGTGTGCCATCTTGCTCCCATCTCTCCTCACTCCTCCCCCCCCCCACAATACACCTGGCCAGCACGCAGAGCGCATCCATTGACATTATTTGCGTTTGTTTGTCGACATGTGTAAGGTATTCATTAGCTTGGTTGTCCAAATCCAAATGCCAGTCGACTGTGCACGCAAATATTAAATATTTGAGCTGTGTAAAGTTTTCACCAAGAGAGACCCAGGCCCAGACTCAGACCTAGACTGGGCGCAGTGTCAACAGCAAACTTCATTTGTTGTTGTTTTCTTTGGCAACTTGTCGCTTATCCAAAACTTACATCATCCACGAGGGCCCCTCCTTTCTCCCTCTTCCTCTGACTCTCTGACAATGATCCATCTCTATGCAGGCTTGTGTGTGTGACAGCTTGCTGCAATTAAATTTGTTTTTATGGGGCTGCACTTCTGGGAATCTTTAAATGCCGCCTGGTACGAGTGCCAAAGGTATTAATATGCATGCCTGCGCATAATACAAATATAAAGAAAGCTCGGGTTACACACGAACGACCCGGACTAGGACTGCACTCATATTTTATTGCACTCGCCTCAGGCGAAGTACACTGAAATATTCATAACATTTGTTTCTGTTAAGAATAACAAGGCTGCCCTCAGGAAACTTAACATTTCAATTTATAATAATAACAGCTCTGTTAATAACATTGCCCAACTATGTTGAATGCGCAACATTTGATTAACAGCGCAAGAGCACATAACATGTACATAACACGTTATGTGTGTCTTAATATACAGTTGTTAAAATATCCAACAAATTTAGATATAAAAAATATTAGAAGAACAGAAGAATACATATATTGGTCACGCCATAAAGGTCCTTTAATAACATTAGTCTGCTATGTTAAACATATTTAACAGAATATATCCCACAAATATGTTAGTTAAATACAGATGTTAATCTTAGCTTTACGAGACTGAAAGTCGATAGATTTAATAGTTCGTATCTTCAAATTGAAGAAAAGCCTAAGTTGCTCTAGAAAAAGATAGATAAATTTAGCACAGTGATCGATATGATAATTTGCAAGAATTCAGATGCACAACTAGTTTCTAGAGCATTGCGAATTCGTTGTAAATTTCGCAGTTGGATGTGGCTGGCAGCTAAGTTCATGTGTAGGCTGCTTTAAAATTGAAATGCCAAACGCTTTTGATGGCCGTGCTGTGTGCGGCATCATTAAGCCCGAGACATGCCAGCGCTGATGATGAAGCTTGAGACTTGCAACCCGCAGCTTTGGCCGCTTGCCACTTGCAGCGCGACCCGCCGCATGCGCATTGCGTGCAAATATCAACTGAAATGCGGACTTCTGACGGGGGTGGACCGCGCGCGCGCACAGAGCTCTGTGAGAACAAAACTGGCTAACCAGACGCTGGCATGCATTTACAGTTAGAGCTGCAACAGGTAGACAGGCGGGAGCAGGGGGGTCGGCAACTATGCGCAGCTGGATAAAACTTTGGCTAAATTGTTAAGAAGTGCCTGTTGGGCTTTTTATTAATAGGCTAGCTGCCATTAGCAGCAATTTTCAATTTTTATTTACGCTGATTAAAAGTGGCTACCAACTTGTCATATTTACAACTGGCCGCAGCTTGATACACTCAAAGGTACAGACTTTGTGGCAGCAGCAGCAGCAACAGCTCCACAGGCCAGCATCTAGTTGTGGGCCGTGCTGTGGCCAAGTGGCAGAGGCCGCTTATTGCCAATTAAGCTGAACTTGTTTTGGGCGTTGCCAGCGTTGGATTCTGTGCGCCGGCAACCAGCAACCTGCCACATTCACAATTTACACCACACACAGCCGCAACAACACACTTGACGTTGTTTATGGGCGCCTGACCGTGCACTTCTTACGGAGACTCATTGCCTTTTAATTTATGTACATATGTATTTGCAGCATTGCCCATAAAAGTGCACAACAGCAACAGTTGCAGTTGCAGTCGGAGCAGCAGCAGCAGCAGCAGCAGCAGCAACAGCAACAACTGAAACCCGCCCAGCAAACATTTACCATTTTAATTGCCATCGAGAAGTCGCAACATTTATGCGTAATCGACTTAATTTGCCAAAGCCTCAAATTGTTAAGCAAGCAAATTGGCAATTGTGAAATCTTGGCCGTTTGCCTCGATGCGAATTTGCTGCAATTGTGCAACCAGCAGCAGCAACAGCAGCAGCAACAGCAGCAACAGCAGCAGCAGCAGAACAGCAGCAATAGCTGTGATCAAACGGTAAGTTCAGGCTTTGACCTTTGCGATTGCAGCACACAAAATGAAATCATTAGGAGGGCCGCCGTCTGCCTGGGCTGACGCCCCTACAGCAGACACAGACACCCAATTAAACCGCTTTACACGGCCCAAGAGCCACAGATTCTGGTCACTAATGACGGCTTTACGTTTTTCTGACCTCCTCCTCCCCCACTCTACTAAAACATACAGGAGCAGTCGCAGCAGCAGTCGCAGCCGCAGTCGCAGTTGCAGTCGCAGCCATCGCATTTGGTTAAATTCATTAGCGTGGACCAAGTCACGACAAGTGTTGCGCCATCGCATTTGCCGAGCGGCGCGCTCCGGGGCCAGCATCATCACGACGCGCGCAAGTGGCGCGAGTTCTTTGCCCAGCTGGAGGCGTTCCAGCGTCAATGTTCGGCGGCCGGCGGTCGTCTGGTTGGCGCTTTGAGCGACATACGCGCCGCCGATCTGTTGGGTCTGCCGACGCGCCGTCAGCTTTATGGCCAGCATCGTGCCCTCAGCCGTGCCCTTATGGACTCGCAGCTGCACAATCTGCGCAAGCACGGCGCCACCCAGCTGGTGCGCCTTCAGGCGGCGGCCAGTGCCATCAATGCGCCGCCAGCCACAGCTGCGCCAACGCCAGCGCCAGCAGCTCCAGATCCAACTGCCTACCATTTGGATGCGGCCCATAAACTGCGTAAGGTGACGCTGCTCTACAGCGAGGTGGATCGAGCTGCACAGCGTCTCGAGCAGCTTACGGAGCAGCGACGCGAGCGCCTGCGCCAACTGACGCGGCAGCGCGCCCTGGAGGATGAGATCAACGAGGTGAGTGTGTTCTGTGCTCTTTTTTATGACTTTTTCAATATATCGAGAGCTTATGCCTGGTTAAGTTTTGAATATTGAATTTCTAAGAGATCCTTCGCCTCGATGTTTTATTCATTCAATATAGTTCTTATACATTAATCATGATGTCTTCTCTAAGTGGCCAAATCTTTAATCTAATCCAAATTCCAGGAACACAATATTTTTATCAAAATGCATAAGTTTTATACCAATTATCTGATACCAACATTTAGTTCCCAATAGATCTCTTGAGTATATGACGCAATGTCGCAATGTTAAAACTGTTACGGATTTATAATCATTTCCTAAAATATCTTCAACTTTGAAATCAGAAATCGTATTATAATTAATACGTTTCTCTACTTTTCTTTTCGAATTGAACCCTGAATATCAACCATGATAAAAGATATACTATATAGAAATCTTTATTTTAAATACCTCTTTGTATTAAAACATTTTGGTAATTGTAATTTTTCTGTTGAATTTTCTCATTCCTTAATTTTGTCCACTTTTTCAAATTAATTCTAATTAATTTTTGTTATATTTTTCGTCTGAAACCAAGAGAAAATTTCTTTTTGTCATCAATTGATATGCTCGAAACGTGCCAGGCTCGATGTTTGGTGTCGTATGTGATGATAATAACAAAGTTGAAGAAAGAAGGCGGAGTGGCCAAACATTGTATTAGGGGAAGATGGGATGGGGAGAAAGGGGGGAGGGGGGTATCTGTTGACAGGAAATGCGCGCAAGCACATTCGAAATGCCAAATGTATCTGACAGATACGCGGCGCGCAGTCGGGCGACATTGTTAATTGAATATGCATTGCATTTAATGCTGGCTTTATTAATTTATTACGCGCATCCGCTTAATGTGCGCGCAACGGGTTCGCCTTGGTAGCCAAACGGAGTCGGTCAGCCAAATGGAGTCGTTAGATAAGCCTGCCAAGATGCGCATCACAGATGCAGTTGCCAGTGGCAGTTGCCACTTGCCACTTGCCACTTGCCAGTTGCCAGTTGCCAGTTGGTAGTTGGTAGTTGGCAGTTGCAATCGTTGTCGTCCTCGTTGCCAATTCCATTTCCTGGCATTTTAATTGACTTGTTAATGGATATGCCTGGTGCCGGCTACCAAGGGCCGCCTGGCCAAATGAATGACTATGCATGATCTCGCGTCTTGCGCCGGCTGCTACCTTTAACCCAGCTGCCAGGCCATATGCCCGGCTGCATAATTGAGTACGCACGCACCCACAACTGGCTGCTGGCGGAGAGGAACTCCAGCTTATCTGGCCAGGGTAATCTTCGGTTTCAGCTTCGCTTAATCAGCGCCAGTGACAGTTGCAGCAACGCCCAAATGCGCCGCAGACTCCGCTAATGCAATTTCGCTGATTAATCACAATAATTTGTTGTGGGATTAGTTGGCTCAGTCATAAAGGAAGCTGCAGCAACTGCAACTGCAACTGCAACTGCAACGACTACTCGGATGCGTTTACATATTCGTCATACTTTCGCGCTACTATTAAGTTTTTGCCATTATTATTATGATTGTTGCATGTGTTGTTGTTGTTGTTGTTGTTGTTGTTGTTGTTGTTGTTGTTGTTGCTGGCCAACAAAAGTATGTCAAATTGGAAACACACGACACGCAGATACGCAGATGCTTGTGCTTGTATCTCATAGATAAACGGCTCCTGCATCTTCAATTTCATTTAATAATTTACGGAAATTGGCATTTAAAAATTTGCTGTGCCTTGTTAACGTATCTGGTTGGTTGCCAGCCTTCAGTTTTCGCTTTACTCTTTACAGTATTCGAACATTTTTCACACGCTCCTCCGCATTTTGAGCAATGTGCAGCAATTTATCAAAAACAAAAATAATAAACTTGGCTTTGGCCAAAAATTGAATTTTAATTGCCGACGAAAAGTTAATGAGAAAAGTGAAAGCAAGGTTAAAGAAATTAAATACGTTTCTTGTGCGATTTTCAATCGATTTGTTTACAATTTTTATTTTTTTTTTTTATTTTTTGTTATTTTGTTTTTTTGCTAACTGGAGCTGTCCGGCTGCCCATTGATTGCTTCATTGATGGCTTCAGCTGGCAGCTCGCGGTTTGCGCATTTCATTAGTTCGCTTCATTCAAAAGTAGTTCAGCGATAAAGACTGTCTCTCTGTTTGTCTGTCTGCCTGTCTTTCTGTCTGTTCAACTGACTAACTGACTGGGCTGCCTCTCAATCGATCTGTCGCTCTCTGTCATACCGTATGTCTGTCATATCACGATCGCCGCAAAAATCATACTAACAGATACTAAAAGCTGGAGAAATAGCAAAAACATTTAACACCACAACACACGCTTTCAATTAAAAGCTGTTGACATCTACTCCAATTTTTTGGGCTTTGCTTTCGCATTTGAAATGCTCTAACTTTAGTGCAGAGTATTGTTTGTTTGTCGCCACAAATCACACGACAGGCAGCCAAAACAATTGCCGTGGGAAGACGCTGCTGGAGGGCAGCACACTTCTCTAGAAAGTTGCCTCTATCTTAAGCTCCAATCAGTTAGTTGAGTTATTTTCGATATCAAACAAGTTAAATGCTTCAAAGGCTCTTGAACTTGGCGCTGCTCGACATATTGTTGACATTTTGTGGAAGTTTTGTGTATTTATGTAACTTCTGCGTTTCTCGTTGGACATCTTGATGATATTTTAATTGATCTTTAATAAATTAAATATTACTTATATTCCATTTTGCAAATTTAGTTTTACCAGGAAAAACATGTTATTTGCTATTGGGGTTTCCAGGATTTGTCTGCTTTGTAACTCAAACAAGGCTCCGCCAGATATTGGAGCAGGGCTTCGTTTCTATTAATGATTATCAAGTTGGCTTACCAAATATATATATTTATATATGTATACTCTTCTATGTATACTCTTCTCACAATTATGATAATAATATCCATCATGATCATAAATTGTCGACACTGTCAAGAGCTTCAAGTGCATTTGTTTGTTACCTTTTTTTTGGCACCCCAGCAGGTACTATTATAAAAGTAAATAAAACTAAGCTTTAATTTATTTACAGCTATAAATACCTTATAAAGATTTCCTATGATGCCAAGTGCATATTGCAGCAGCTGTTATGTGATATTTATTTATATGTTGCTTCGTTAATTTATGCCCAAGAAGTGTATTAAATCTTCGCTAGCCTTGTTTTGCTTAATTAAATCAATATATTTATGTAGTTAGCTAACAAACGGCAACTAAACTTAGCTGCAACTGCTTAACCAATGCCAAATCCGAAGCCCAATCCAAGTCCGAGTCCGAGTCCGAGTCCGAATGTGAATGCAGCTCTGCCACCTAACAAATGTCGCTGTCGTCCATTAGGCGCGCATTCAAACAAGGTGCGAAAAAAGATGCCGCCGTCGCCATTTTGTTGCGCTGCAACAACAACAACAACAACAACAACAACAATGACGACAACGACGACAGCGACAACGACAACGACAACGACAACTACGACGACATTATGATGCGATATGCGATATTATATCTAAATTGTTGATCGGCTGCATTAGTTGCGCGGGCTGCGGGGTGGATTTTAGCTCCAGTTATGGCCACAAGTGTTGACTGGGTGTGTGTGTCGGCGTGTGTGTGTGTGTGTGTGTGTGTGTGTAGCCTTGGGTGTTGCTGCTGCTGCTGGTTGGTGAAAGAGTTGACGCGTCTTGGCCGATAGCTGCCTGCAGATAGAGATAAAATACACAAGCGCTGGCGGTGAAATTGGATTTGTTTGGGGCGCTTTCTTTGAGCGTTTGCCCGTTTATTTCTATTTATTTTTATATATTTTTTTTTTTCAAATTAATTTGCGCGCTGTCGGCAGCTTTTGTGCAATGAAAACTATGTTTAATTGTTTCGCGCCTTGAATTGCAGCAGCATCAGCAGTGGCAGCAGCAGTGGCAGCTCCAAGGAGCTGCTGACTGACCGGGGACAAGTTTTGGCTTGGCTTGGCGGAAGCAACGCCTCGCTTATTTATGGCCTTTGACATACGAACCCGGGGTCCTCGTGGCGCACAGGAATGTGGTGGCAAAGTTGGCTACTTGCATAACTGCAGCTGCAGCATTTGAGAACTGGCTGGCATAGAATTCGGTCAGCGGCCAAAACTGGCCATGAAATATGAAGGCTTATTTAGTGTCGACATGGTAAAGGAGGAGAGAAGACTCCCAGATCCATTCACAGTGGCATTAATAATAGCCGCGTGTATTAACCCCCACAGCACAGTGTGTGTGTGTGTGTGTGTGTGTGTGTGTGTGTGCAACCGGTTGATACATGCAAATTCGCCACGCGAACAAACAATGCCTCATGCTCCAACCTGGCTGCCAGCACAGCTGCAACTTCATCTGCGGCTCCTTCAACTGCCTCTGATGCGACTGATGCTCCAAGTGCCTCAACTGCTGCTGCTCCTCCTGCTGCTGCGGCTCTGGCTGTGTGTGTCATCAATGTGGACGTTAATCATACGCTTAGCTTGACAGACATCGCCCCGAGGCAGCAAGGCAGCAAGGCAACAAGGCAGCAAGGCAGCAACAGTTGCCGCCTAGAATGTCTGCATCTGCATTTGCATCCGAGTGTTTATTGAATCAAGAAGCTCACCTGCCTCGGCAATGGCCATAAGCCAGGCCAGGCCAGGTTGGAGTGACAGCGAACAAAACGTAATTGTTGTCGCCGCCGTCGCCGACATCGTTTGGGGCATGTCAAAATGTAACTGTCATATTGAGTTTGACATGTTTTTTAACACTAATTTTACACGCATTTTTAGAAATCGTCAACTTCATCAACGGCTGTCATCATTTTTTTTTCTCCACATTTCGTTTTTTTTTTTTTTTATTTTATTTCAAGCGTCGTCACGTCCGTTCCGTCTCTGATTCCAGCGATAAGCTGCAGTCACTGTCACTGTCTGCCCCGTGCCCCAGCTCCTGCTTGTTGTTGCACTTGCCGCAGCAAAGCTGCTTT